TATCCCTGACAAGATCCAGCTGCCAGGTCCCAAATTCACTTGGAACTTTGAGTCATGCCCCTTTGCTTTCCTCCCCCGGCCCCCATCCTGAAATTCTGCTGAATCCGCCCAAATCTGTATGGTTTGGCTGTGTCTTGGGTATTTTTTATTTGGGTATAAAAAGAGTGACTTTGGGACAAACATTCTGTGTCTGAAGGGGCCCGGGAATTGAACTGCCAAGGGGCTGGTCAGTGGAGAAGAGTGGGGAGGCTTAATTCCCTGTTTATTCCTGGTTTTCCTTGTTGTTTGGTGATGGGCAGAAATTGAGGATCTTTTCTGCCCAAATTTCAGATTTTTTTTACCCTTTCCCTTCCAGAATTATATCACTTTGGCCCCCTTTCCCCCACAAGTTTCATAATTTTAGCCCTTTTTCTTTCAAAATGTTGGGTTTTAAACACTTCTTTTCCCAAGTCTCATGGGTTTGCTCTTTTTGTGCATCTTTCTCCCAAATTTCAGGTTTTTTTGTCCTCGTCATGTCCAAAAATTGGTGGGTTTTTTCTTCACCTTTTTGACGCCAAATTCAGCATTTGGGAGGGTTTGTACGGGACAAGGTGAGTGAAGGGTTTTCCTGGATGTTGAGCCCCATTTTGATCTGAATTTGGGGGATGTTGGGCACAAAACTACCCCATTTTGACTGAAACTGAGGGGATTTGGGGAAAAATTCATCCTTTCCATGAAGTTTTAGTGTGGATTTGGTGGAAATGGGGTATTGAGGTGACATCAAGGGCAGGGGTTGGTGGGAATGCTGTGTCATCATTTTAAACCCCATTTTGATGTGAATCTAGATGATTTTAATTAAAATTCCTTTGTTTTTAGATGGAACGTGATATAGATGTAGACTCTGATGTGGCCTCAAGGGAATGTTTAATCCTGTTTAATGCCATTTTGACCAATAGAGGTGTGGGGGGGGGGAGATTGGGGGGAAAATATATTTTAACCCAAAATGGGATAATTTGGGAAGGAAATCCGTTTTGATCCAAATGTGGAGAATTTTGGACAAAAATTTTATAGTTTCAAATGTTTGGAGTAGATTTTGAGGCAGTGGGGACCAAAATAAGCCCCAAGAGGTTTCCATGTGCTGAAAAAAGACGTTTTTGGGTAATTTGGAGGTTATTTGAGGCTTCTGGAGAAATCCCAGGACTCACATGGATTTTTCCCATAAAATAACAGTTTTTAGTGATTTTCGGTGCTTTTCTTAGGGATGGCACAAGATGGGATATGGTGGCTCTTCCTTCTATTCTGTGGTAAGTAAAACTGCTGTTTTCCACACAAAATCTCCAAATTTCATGGATTTTGTACATATTTCCAGGCTTTTTAGCACAGAAAATGAAATCCTGAGTCCCTGGTCTTGTTTTTGCCTGAAAATTTCTCCAACAACTTCTCAGCTGCAGATTTATTATTTTTAACCAAAAGCCCCCATTTTGAAATATTTTTTTAATCCAAAAACCTTTAGAATCTTCTTTTTTTCATGAATGCCTCTATAATTTCATGGGGAAAAATCCCCTTTTTCCTCAGTTTCTATGGGAAAAAAAAAATGCACATTTTCCTGGTTATTTTGGTTTAGTTTTTGGTTTTGGTTTTTTTTGTTGTTTTGTTTTGGTTTTTTTGTGTGTGTGTGTGTTTTTGGTTTTTTGTTGGTTTTTTTTTTAGCTAAAATTCTAATGATTGGTTTTAGTGTTTTTCCAGGACAAAACCCCAAGATTTATATGCTGGAACTGTATTTTCTTCCAGGGAAAAAATATCTACTTTAAAAAGATGTTTTTAGATGAAACAAAAGTCCTTTTATTTGCTCTTTTTAAATAAAAGAAGTAAGTTCTTAAGGAAAAAAAACCCTTTTAATCCTTATTTTCCTGGCTTTTTTCTCATTGTCATTAAAACCTTTTATCAACCCAATTTTGAGGTAATGTTCTAAAGAAAAAAATACTTTTTATTCTCTTAATATTTTCTTGTGGGTTTTTTTGTTTAATTTTATTTTAAAAATTTATTTAATGAGGAAAAAAAGCCCTCTTGAACTCTTTTTTAGGTTTCAAGTACTTTAAAGAAAATAACCTCTTTTACTCTGTTATAATTATTAAAATTCCAATTGCTCATTTCCCTCTTAATGTTTCTTCATAATCCCCCTTTTTTAAAAGCAAAACTCTTATTCATGTATTATTTCAGAAAGGCCCCATTAATCCTATTTTTTATTAATAGTTAAACCTCATTATTCCCTGTTTTTCCCCCAAAACACTCAAATTCCATTTTTTTCCAAAAAAATCACCAGAATTATTTTTTTAATCTAACATACCCAATTACCTATTTTTTAAATTAAAAAAAAATCCTTATGATGGGCTTTTATGTATATGCTGAGTTTTATTCAATTTTCATCTTATTTTCCTTTTTTTTCCCTGCCAATCTCAAGATTTTTTTTTCTCCCTTTTAATTAGGAGAAGACACCCACTCTTTTAAGCCTGTTTTGGGGCAAAAAATGGCTATTTTGCTGGTCTGTAGCATTAAAAAAAATGAAAAAATATTTTTGATTCTTTTAAAGTATCTTTTGCTTAGTCTTCCTTTATATATTTTTATATATATAAAATGTATATTTTTATATATGCATTTTATCTTATACAAAATACATAACATTTTATTTGGCTAATAATAATATTAAATCGTGTAATTGAATATCATCTTATTGATCAATAGGACAGTAATTGCTTATTATTACTTATCTATATTTTTATGTGTTGAGGATATATTAATAATATACATACAGTACAACAGTTCTATCTGAATATATAATATAATCTCTACTGTAATTATAAAAAATACAACGTATGATTTATAATGCTGTAATTATGTTGTTATTATTATTATTATTGATTTGCATTTTTTAGTAAAAATTTTTATAAAAATTCAGTATAAACTTATTTAAATGTTTATATGGATGTACAAAAGATGTGAACTAGGAGAATGTAATATATTTTCTATTCATATAATATATTACTGAATTTATTAATATAGCAGACTATATATTGCTATTATATATAACTATCTAGTTATTAAGATATAATTATTAACTATAGAATAAATATGAATTACTACAAATATAATTATATAATACAATTCTTACTTTACAATACAATATAATTCTTACTACACAATATAATATTATGTAGAGTTGCATATTATATGAATGCCAGTGTTATAGTATTATATTGTATTGTTATTGTTATTGTATTATAACAGTATGTAATTTATGCATATAATATTTATTTACATAATTATATATTATTATATTCTGCATTACAATGTAATATCTACTTTTATAATTGTTATATTAATGATACCTATAATCATAGATTATATTGCAATATAGTGTAATACAATGGTATACTATTTTTATTCTTTTCTCTAATATATTCTCTACCTTTGTAATTTTGCACCTTACTGCTTATTTTTGCTTGATTTTTACAATTTTTTCCCAAACCATTTCTATGAAAACAAGAAAAAAATTATTTAAAATCATTATCTGTATAATTTTATAGAGAAAATATAAATCATCTACTGTTTTATATAATTATAAAAATAACATGTAAATGTATTTTCTACTATTATTAATACTGAAATAAATTCAATAGCCACAGTGTTTATTATTGAATTACTTTAATTATTTTTAATGTTTATGGAGTTGAATTAAATATTTGCTGATATTTCTATCAAAATTAAGTACAAAGCAATAGAAAAAATACTACTATATATTTAAATATAAGTATTGTATATCACAATTTTATAATTAATAGATCTGTATAATAATAACATAGAAAATTATATAACAATGTAATATAATGGATAACAAGTATAATAATACTGTAACAGGCTGAAATGTAATTGACATATTTTAACGGATATATGAGTCCTATATTATTAATATTTTATCAATGTGCTAGTAAGTAGTAATATATTAAAGTATATTACATAATACTAGTAATATATCATGAACACAAGGTGTAATAATATAAATGTCTAGTAATATTGTTGTATTAAGAAATAGTATTTTGTGTAATTAATATTAGTTAATAATACAACATTATTTCATATTTTTAACACATTGATGTATTTTAATAATTTGCTAATAGAATACAAATGTTGTTTATTAACATAACAAGCTGTAAATAGAATTTATATTATGATTATATATAAAAATGAACTCTATAAATTGGATACCGCAGTCATATCTTTAATGTAATTTCAGTACAATTCCTACTGCAAAATAGGAAAATTGATATATAAACACGTACAGAATTGATATAAAAATATAAAAGCCCCTTTTATATAACCCCGTGGTTAACATAAAAATTAACCAAGGCCTCCTTTTCCCCCTCTTTCCCCAGCACTCTCCAGTGCCAGCTACCAGGGCCGGGAGTTCCTGGCCGTGTTCCCACAGAATGATGACGAGTCCCCCAGTGCGCACCTGCAGCTGCTGCTCACCTCCTATGGCCCTGCTGACACCCAGGTGTCAGTGACGCTCCGTGGCGGCTCTGTCACCAAGAACATCACCCTGAGGCCAGATGTCACTGTGCCCTTGCCTCTCCCTGCTAACCTGGAACTCACTGGAAGCCACACTTTCGATAAAACCTTGGTGGTCCAGGCCAGCGGTGACATCTCTGTGGTGTCTGTCAGCACCAAGGGCTACACTGTGGGTGCCACTGCCCTCCTACCTATGGAGAGCCTGGGCACCAGGTACTATGTGGTGACACCAGTTGGGAACTACACTTATGGCCTGACTGAGTTCGTGGTGGCCACCGGTGCCACCACCACCGCTATCAGCATCACCACCACTGCCACTTTCCACTATGCTGGGGCCACTTACGTCCCTGGTGCCGTGCTCCGCCTGTTCCTGCAGCCCTACCACAGCCTGCAGCTCCAGAGCAGCCAGGACTTCACTGGCACAGTTGTGGTGGCCGACACCCCTGTGGCCGTCCTCAGTGGCCACACCTGTGTCAAGGTGTCTGCTGGCTTTGACTTTGTGGTGGAGCAGCTCCTCCCAATGACAGGATGGGGGAGGAGCTATGTGGTGCCACCCAATCCACTGCAGACAGACGTTGACTTCGTTTACGTGGTGACAGATGAAGACAACACCATCACCTACAACACCGGGAGTGGGAATGCGACTGTGGCCATGGCGGCAGGGGAGGTGCAGACATTCGTGCTGAACCGTAACTCCCACCTGTACATCAGTGCAGTGGTGGCAGTGCAGGTGGTGTTTTTCTTCAGCGGCTCATCTTGGCAAGATCCCTTTCTCCTTGTTGTCCCACCTGTCACTGCCCATTGCACTGCATTCCGCTTTAGCAGTGTGCCCAGCCAGTATAATCATGCCATCCTCATTGCACCCACCACTGCCACTGCCACCACCACCCTCAACCATCGGCCAGACAACACCATGGCATGGCAGGCCATTCCTGGCACAGATTTCTCCTGGGCCAGCATTGCTGTGGGAGCAAAAATGCAGAGTGCTGAGAACTCGCAGGTGCCCATTGGGCTCCTGGTATTTGGGTTCCAGAGTCACACTGGATATGGCTTCCCAGGGCTCTGTGCCACCAGTGAGTACAGTCAGTCCACTGTTGTGTCACCCCAATGGTTGGGCCTTGTGCAGTTGACCATTCATGGGTTTTCCCCTTTTTTTCAGTCCCCACATCACTCTCCTATGAGGATTTGGTATGTGAGGAGAGGTGTGAGCTGGTGGATGGACAACCAGACTGCATCCAGGACACTTTCTCCACCTGTTGGCTTGCTGGCGGGTCACACTACCGCAGTTTTGATGGAAAAACCTTTGATTTCATGGGAACATGTGCCTACACCTTGACCACCATCTGCGATCCCGATCCCACCCTTCCTGCCTTCTCTGTTGAGGTCACAAAGAAGGAAAAGGAGAACTCCAAAGTTTCCTCCATCAGCTCCATCACCATCCACATCGACAACGTCACCATCACTGCTGTCCAGTCAGAGAATGGGATGGTGAGGGTAAGCCATCATAATTTCCAAATTTTTAAAAATTTTGCTGAAATTGCATATTTATCAATGATCTTGAGGATCTTATCCTAAATAATTCCTGGGTTTGCTGGTGTGCAGGTAACCCTTGCATGAAAACACTTCTAGTCTTCTTAAACTCTATGCCAAATTTTGAAGGATTTTGGTTGTTTTGATGGTTTTTGTTGTCCTCCAGGTGAACAACCACCGCTCGCACCTTCCCATCTCCCTCTCCCATGGGAAGCTCCGCATCCACCAGAAGGGTAAATCCATGTTGATCCAATCAAATTTCAAGCTGAAAGTCCTCTACAACTGGGATGATCATATAGTGATCAAACTTCCGGCTGCTCTTTCTGGAAAAGTGTGCGGAATGTGTGGGAACAACAATGGGAATCCCCAGGATGACACTCTCTCTCCTGATGGAACACAAGTGTGGGATATTGTGGAATTTGGGCAGAGCTGGAAGGTGACCAGTGAGAGTAGCCGCTGCCAGGACACTTGTGATGGTGACTGTGGGCGGTGCAGATGGGACCAGGCGGTGACATACAAGGCAGAGACCTGGTGTGGGAAGTTGTCCCAACATTCTGGGCCATTCCGGTCATGTCATGACACTATCAGTCCTAATATCTACGTGAAGAACTGTATCTATGACCTGTGTGCCAATGAGGGGCATCGTGATGTGCTGTGCCACGCCTTTGAGACCTATGCTGATGACTGCCAGGAGGAGGGCATCAATGTTTCCAATTGGAGGACAACAGTGGGATGTCGTGAGTAGAGGATGGTTGGGTGAAAATGCTCCTTGGGATGGGCAGAGCCTAATTATTGTGGGACTAACGATCCATAGGATCATGGGCTGGGAAAGGTTATGGCAGCAGATCCAAGCAGGAAATCCATGGAAGTCCAGGGAGATTCCAGAAAGTCTATGTAGAAAGTCCACAAAGTCTGTGGAGTCTCTAGAAAGTCTGAGCAAGAAGTCCTCAGACACTCCAGAATGTCCAGGCAGAAGGCCTAGGAAGTCCATGGAGACTCCATAAAATCCATGGAGACTCCAGGATATCTGCGTAGATAGTCAAAGAAGTCTGTTCCACCATGTGCCGCCCCACCCTGACTGCTGTCTCCTTCCCTGTCCAGCTCTCACTTGCCCGCCCAACAGCACCTACAGCACCTGTGGCCTCGCCTTCCTCCCTTCCTGCAACATCCCCGCTGTGTCATCCAGCTGTGCCGCTGTCACCACCTGCGTAGACACTTGCGTGTGCCACGAGGGCCTTGTCCTTGATGCCAACACCTGCATCCCCCCCTCTGAATGTGGCTGTGTCTTTCGGGGTCTCTTCTATGGCCTTGGCGAGGAATTTTGGGGTGATCTCACTTGCACCCAACGCTGTGTGTGTGACGCGGAGCAGCGGCAGGCAGTGTGCCGGGATTCTGGCTGTGGCACTGAGGAGGAATGCCGGGTGGAGGAGGGGATCCAGGATTGTTATCCCAGAAGTTTTGGGGTCTGCACTGCTGTTGGAGCCACCCACTATGAGACCTTTGATGGCAAGAGGTTCATCTTCCAGGGCACATGTGTCTACCTGTTGGTAGGGTTGTGTGAGGACACCCAAAATTTGGTGGGATTCCAGGTGTTGGTGCAGAATGGCCACCGAAGTGACAACTTCATGTTGTCCATTGCCATGGTGACAGTCAAAGTCTACAACAAAACCATCAGCATTAGCAGGGAACGTCCTGGAAAAATCATGGTGAGTTTAGGAAATGATCCCTTCTTTTTTCACCACATTCTCCACCTTGTCCCAAACCTCATCCTATTAACATCTGAAATGTAATTAAATCAACATAATTTGCCTGTTCCAGATCAAGGAGTGGTTGATCAGCCTCCTCTTGGGACATGGTCCTTCTCATTCTCTTAAATCCAAAATTTAATTCAATTCAAAATTTAATTAAATTAATGCTTTTTGATTGCTCTGGCTGTTGCAAGTAGTTTACTATCACTTTGCAAAGTTGATCAATTTTTATGGTTTTCTCCCCAGATTGATGAGCAGTTGATCAATCTCCCATATCACTACAGTGAAAGAAAGATTGTTGTCTATCGTCACGGGCAGGATGCGGTGGTAGTGACCGATTTTGGCCTCGTTGTCACCTATGACTGGTACAGCCACGTCACCACCATGGTGCCCAGTGGCTTCACTAATGCCCTATGTGGGCTCTGTGGGAACTACAGTGGCGCTGCAAGCGACAACATGATGATGAGGAACAACCATGGGACGTCAGACCCAGATGCCTTCAGGAGCAGCTGGAAGGTCACAGATGTCCCAGGATGTGGTGAGAGGTCAACAGTGGAATGTTCCAGGACACTTGCACCTTCCTGGCTGCAGCAGGAAGTCTCTGGGATGGGATGTGAAATTATTTTGGAAGTGGATGGACCTTTTAGAGCATGTCATAGTCATGTTGATGGCCACCAGTACTTCCAGAGCTGCATCCATGACTCCTGCCTGTTCCCTGATCAGGAAGAAGGGATCTGTCCAATCATTGCCCTCTACGCCACCGCATGCCAGGCTGCTGGTGTGTCCATCGGGAGGTGGAGAACAGATAATTTCTGCTGTAAGTTGGGACAATGGGAGGGTTTTTCCTTCAGCAGTATCCAAAGGATCCTCAAATCTGCTCCAAATCCATGTATGAACAACCCAGAGGTGCATGGGAATCCAGTGGAAATTCCACCCAAAGTTTTGGTTGATCCCATAATCCACCCAAATTAAACCTTTCCTAAGGAAGAAGCTGTCTCATCTGGAATAATTTACCCCCTCAAAATCTCCAATTTCCTGGTGTTGGCTAAAAGGTGGATAATTTAGAGGGAGAACCATCAAAAAATGTACCAAAAATAGTGGAATTGGGTTAAAGGGATTCAGCCTGGAGATCAGTTGAGGACCCAGTGTGGAGTGATCCCATTCTTTGAGTGAATGTTACATTTTTCTCCATAGAAATGTGAGAAATTGGGTGGTTTAGTGGAAGAATTCCTATTGAAATGGGCTGGGATGTTCCTTATGGATGGTCATTGGATCATCATCAGATAATCATTGGATTGTCATTTGATGATGTCCCTTGTCATGTGCACAGGGATGAAAATTGAGAGTTTGCCATGGGCTAAAAAACCCTGTATTTGGTGAAGTTTGCACCTGAATTCCAGGAATGTTCCAGGATTTGGCTTGGAATTTCCTGATTCCTTATGAATCCCATTGTTTCCCGGCAGATATTCCCTGTCCTTCCAACAGCTCCTATGAGCTCTGCGCCCACACCTGCCAGCACACCTGCGGTATTGACTCTGCCACATGCCAAGGATGGTGCCGCGAGGGCTGCACATGTCAGGATGGCTTCATGCTCAGCGGTGACGAGTGTGTCCCCATGTCCCACTGTGGCTGCAGCCACCATGGAGTCTACTACAAAGGTGGGGAGACATTCTACCCCACAGAGCAGGAGATGTGCCAGTGCCTCTCTGGTGGCACTGTGGAGTGCCAAAATACTTCCCGTCCTGATGGTGGCCATGGGAAGGTCATCAGTGATGTCGTCCAGTCTCCCTTGCAGCTGTCCAGCACCTGTGTAGCCACAGGTGACCACACCTATGTTACCTTTGATGGGATGGCCTTCAACATCGCTGGTACTTGCTCCTATGTCCTCACCCTGACTAGCACAGGTGACAACGTGACATCGTTTATTGTCACACTCTAGAAGGAGGAGCAGCAGAAGGGGAAGGTCCCAAGCATCCAAGCATTGTCTGTGGAAGTCTATGGGGTCACCTTGACCTTGAAACAAGGAAAAAGGGCAGATGTCATGGTAACATGGCTCTTTATGTTTCAAATCTCATGGGATCCCCCCAAACTGGGTTTCTTTATAGAAGGGACACCTCAGCCCATCTCCCATCCCAGTCCAACTTTTCTTTCTAAGTAAGATCTGTAAATGCATTAAAACCTTGGTTGGAAGTTGTTTTCCCTAAATTTTTCATTCTACCTCAATCAACCCCAAAACTCTGTTTCCTTGGTGGGGGGAGCCCTCATCCCATCTCCAAGACTAATCCATTCTCATTCAAACTTTTTCTTCCAAGTGGGATCCACAAATCTGTCAGAATATTGTTTGGAAGGTGTTTCCCCCAAATGTTTGGTTCCACCTCCTCACTGGACGACTCTTCCTTCTCTATCCCAGGTGGATTCCATTTCCCACCACCTCCCCACCATCCTGAGTGAGGGACAGGTCCAGGTCTACCCACATGGGACAGGTGTCCTGCTCCGCACTGACTTCGGCCTCATTGTCCACTATGACCTCGTCCAGCACGTGATGGTCACAGTCCCCCAGACCTACATGGGGCGCTTGTGTGGCCTCTGTGGCAGCTACAATGGCCAATGCAATGATGATTTCCAGCTTTCCAGTGGCCAGCTGGCTCCAGATGCAACAGCCTTTGGATCTGCGTGGAAAACAACAGATACACCTTGCAATGACACCTGTCCCAAGGATGAGTGTCCCACCTGCACAGAGGAGAAAGTGGCAGTCCTCCAAAAACCCAACTATTGTGGCCTACTCACGGCCCCTGAAGGTCCCTTTGGCTCCTGCCATCTCATCATTGACCCCGTCCCATATTCCCAATCCTGCATCCATGACCTCTGCATGACGGGAGGGGACACACATGTCCTGTGCCAGAGTATCCAGAGCTATGTCACTGCATGCCAAGGTGCCAGAGTCACTGTGGGGGCTCGGAGGACACCATCCTTCTGCTGTGAGTTTGGGAGGGCACAGGGGTGAATGTTCCTGTTTGTGTCTGGGTGACAGTGGTGACACACAGGACATGGGATGATGGTGATGGGGTGAGCTTTAAAGTCCCTTCCAACCCAACTCAATACATGATTCCATGAAAATTCCAGCCCCCACCTGCCCAGCCAACAGCACCTACTCGCTTTGCACCAACACCTGTGCCAACATCTGCACCGGAAATACCACCACCTGTCCCCAAACCTGCACTGAGGGCTGCCAGTGCCACCAGGGTTCTGTCTTTGATGGACACAGATGCGTTCCCGAGGATTACTGTGAATGCTTCAGGGATGGGGAATACTATAAGGTAGTTTTTCTGGCCTTTTTTCCTGTTTTTGGGCATTTGTGTCTTTTTTCCCCTTCATTTTCTCCCTATTTTTATACCTTTGTTTCCTTTTTCCTTATATTCCTTCATCCTTTTTGTTTTTATGTCCTTACCTATATTTTGCGTTCATTTATTTTCTTTTCTCTCATATTTCTCTGCATTTACCTCTGTTATCATGGTGTTTTCTTTTTTTTCCTGGCTTGATGTATTTATATTTTAAAAAATAATTTCCCCACATTTTCTCTATTTCTTATGTCTTTACACCTTTCTTTCTTGCATTTTTCCCTACTTTTCTTTCTCATTTTCCCAACATTTTCCCCTTTCCATCCTCCTATTTTTATGCCATATTTCCCGTGTTCTCTTTCTTTTCCCCTATTTCTAGGCAGTTACATTGTTTTTCTTGCCTGTATTTTTCTCTGTGTTCTGCGTTTGCATTTATTTTTCTGCATTTTCCCCATTTTTCCTTTATTTATGCTTTTCCCCAGCATTTCCCCCCTATTTTTATACATTTATGTCTTTTTTTTCCTGCATTTACCCTTTTTTCCCCCCTTTTTATAGAGAAGGTATGCATGTACATCCCTTTGCCTAGCAATTTGTTCACTATTTTCCCTATTCGTCTGCACTTACATCCTTTTTTCTGCATTTTTCCTTTTTATCTCCTATTTTCATGAATTTCCCTTTCTCTCTTCTCTCCCCCTCACAGCCCCATGAGATGCTTTTCCAGGATCACTGCCAGACCCGTTGCACCTGTGTCCCTGGCCAGGGCCTTACCTGCCATGACCATACTTGCACTGAGGACGAATTCTGTGAAATCCAGGAAGGGGTCTTGGGATGCATCAAAAAAAGTGAGGAAAAGTTGAGGGAAGAGGGGAGTTTTAGATGCAAAGTGGATCTGGGAGAGATTGAGGGGTAGAATGGGGAAAAAAGGGAAGGGGAGCTGGAGGGAACAGAATTCTGCCTCTAAGGGTCAGGAATGGGACAATTCTTCCCATGGTTTCTCCCAAGGTTTCTCTCTTATTTTTGTTCCCCATCCCATGATGTTTCCCATGGTTCCTCCCATGTTTTCTCCCATCCCATGGTTTCTTCCATGATCTTTCCCATGCTTTTTCTCATTGTTTTTCCCATGGTTTTCCATGCTATGATTTCTCCCATTGTTCATTCCATGTTTGTTCCCATAGTTTCTTCCATCCCGTGATTTTTCCTATTCCATGGTCTTTCCCATCTTGCAATTTTTCTCTCTTATATGACTTCCCCCCACTTTCTTCTTCATCCTTTTGCCCAACCCATGGCTTCCCCCAATGTTTATCTCCTATTTCACCCAGCCCATGGCTCATCCTTCTCTCCCTCCCCTCCCAGACCCCTGCAAGTCCCTGCACTGCCGCCCCAAGGAGCGCTGCCGGCCCCGCGGTGCCCAATCCCGCTGTGTCCCAGCCCTGGTCGCCACATGCTGGGCATGGGGTGACCCACACTTCCGAACCTTCGACGGACTTGACTTTGACTTCCAAGGAACCTGCACCTACACCATGGCTGAATCCCATGGGAATGACCCTGGGCTGGTGCCCTTCAGGGTCCAGGCCAAGAATGACATCCGTGGTGGGATCCAATCTGTGTCCTATGTCTCCCTGGTCAAAGTTGACGTCTATGGACAACGCATCTCCTTCCACCGGAATGAAAATGGAAGAGTCCGGGTGAGTTGGGTGGAAATGTGAGAATTTGGGCTTTTTCCCAACTTTTTGCTTAATCCAGCTCTTCCCTACATCCTTCTTCATCCAGCAGTGCCAATGTTTTGGGATAAATCAGTCAGATTGGGAGGCTGATTGTTGAAATATTGACATATTTTGGGAATAAAATGTTGGGATATGTCAGGAATAAAAAGTTGAGAAATTATGGGAACAAAATATGGGGAATAGAATATTTGGATATGTCAGGAACAGAATGTTGTGATAAAATTGGAATAAGATGTTGGGAATAAAATGCTGGGGTGTGTCAGCAAAAAACCAGGAATATGATGTTGGGGTAAACTGGGATAAAATGTTGCTGTGTCTAGGGAATAAAATATTAGGATATTTCAGAAATAAAATGTTGGGATGCAACAGAAATAAAATACTGTGGAATGTTTGGATATTCTGGGAATAAAATATTGGGTCATAGTGGGAATAGAATATTGGGACCTATCAGTAATAAAATACCCCTGGAATAAAATGTTGGGATGTGTAAAATGTGGGGACATGATGAGATTTAGGGTTGAAATATGCTGGGAATAAAGAATTGAGATATGTGAGGAATAAAATATTAGGATACATTTGGAATAAAATATTGGTGTATGTTGAGAATAAAATATTGAGATAACTGGGAATGTTGGGCCATTGGCAGGTGAATGGGGAGGTGATGCTGCTCCCTGTGCTCCTGGCAGACGGGAAGGTGCGGGTCCATCCCACTGGGCTCCGTGTTGCTCTGGAGACAGATTTTGGTCTCCAGGTCTCCTATGACTGGAACTGGCACCTCCAGATCAACCTCTCCAGCAGCTACTACCGCCACGTCCGTGGTCTCTGTGGGAATTTCAACCTCAAGCCCCTTGACGACATCCCCGAGGCTGGTGACAACATCACTGCAATTGTCACATGGGCCAAAAACTGGAAAAGTGCTGACTCTGAGGTTGATGACCCAATTTGTTGGGATTATTGTGACGGAGTATGCCCAGTGTGTGATGAGAAAAAGAAGGAGATTTATGGCGGGAACCACTATTGTGGGATCATCAAAAAATCCTTCCAGGGGCCCTTCAGAGCATGTCACAACATAGTGAAGCCTCATGACTTCTATCGCAACTGCCTGTCTGACCTGTGTCTGAGCAATGGGGCAAGGTCAATCCTCTGCCAGGTGCTGGAGACCTATGCAGCGACGTGTCAGAAGCATGGGGCCATGGTCCATGACTGGAGGACGCCATCAGGATGCCGTAAGGGCTGGGGTTTTCTTTGAGAAGGGAAGGAGCCAGAGTGGGGGAGGAGGGGAATGGAGTGGGATGCATCCTAGGTTGAAACCCTCAAATCTCTCAGGTGATCCCTGGAAGTTCTCCTGGTGCTCCAGCTGCTTCTTGTGTCCCAGAACCCACCCCATCTTTCCAAGAATCCATCCCACATTTCCAAGATCTTTCCCACATATTCCAGGCCTTTATCATTGTGTTCCAGACCTCATCTTGTGCATTCCAGACCCCATCCCCCAAGGCCCAGACCCTTGCCACATGGCTCAGACCTCATCCCTCTTGTCCCAGTCTCTTCCCACATTTCCCAGACCTTCCTCCTTGCAATCCAGACCCTTCTTGTTTTCCAGACCCTTCCCCATATTCAAGACACTTTCCCAATCCCCACCTACTCTGTTGAATGCTGTCCACTCCCCTAATCCCTCCATCATCCCCGTTTCCTCCCTCTGCAGCCTTATCTTGCCCTGAAAACAGCCACTATGAGTCGTGTGGCAATGCCTGTCCAGCCACCTGCTCCAACTGGGACAGTACAGCCACCTGTGACCAGCCCTGTGTGGAGACCTGTGCCTGTAACACTGGCCACGTGCTCAGTGGTGGACAGTGTGTGCCGGTGTCCCGCTGTGGCTGCACCCGTGATGGCCGCTACTACCACCCTGGCGAGGAGTTTTGGGGCGATGACACCTGTCACTCCAGGTGTAGGTGTGACATGGAGCTGGGAATGGTGGTGTGCGAGGACTCCGGGTGTAAGCCGGGTGAGGTGTGCGCAGTGGTGAAGGGCGTGCGGCGGTGTGTGGCCAACAGACGCTCCATCTGCGTGGCCACTGGTGACCCCCACTATACCACCTTCGATGGGCGCCGCTACGACTTCATGGGTACCTGTGTCTACCTGCTAGCTGGGCTCTGCTCCACTGACCCCACCCTCATCCCCTTTGCTGTCACTGTGGAGAACAATCACCGTGGCAGCCACCTGGTCTCCTTCACTAAGGTGGTCACCATGGAGGTGTATAACATGACCCTCAGTCTCAGCCAGGAACATCCCCAGAAGGTCAAGGTAGGGATGATAGGGGTGGTTCAGAGTCATTGCATGGCATCTGGTGAGGGCTCAAGGTCATGGTATGGTCCTCAGATGTGCTTCAAGGTCATCACATGACACATGGGTGGAGTTTCAAGGTTCTTGTAAGGTGTTTAGGTGGGTTTCAAAGTCATTTCAAGGCATTTGGTTGGGTTTCAGGATTCTTGTATGGTGTTTAGATGGGTTTCAAAGTCATTGGGGTGGTGTCTGGGTGGCTACAAAATCACCTTGATGGGCTTCAAAGTCATTGCATGGTGTCTCTTTGTGGGCTACAAAGCCATTGTGTGGCATCTGTGGGTTTCAGGGCAATTCCATGGCATTGGGTTAGGTTTCAAGGTTATTGTATGGTCTTCAGGAGGGTTTCATGTGGTATCGAGGTGGTCTTCAAGGTCATTCTATGACACCTGGGTGGGTTTCAACTTCATTGCGTGACCTCATTCCACCTGCAACTCTCTTGCCAGATAAACGGTGTCCTGTTGGACCTTCCCTTCACCCACAACCATCAGCTCCAGGTGTCTCTCCGTGGTGTCCATGGCTTCATCACCACTGAGATGGGTGTCACTGTCACCTTTGACTGGTACAGCTATGCCCGTGTCATCATCCCCAACACCTACGCTGGCGCCGTCTGTGGCCTCTGCGGCAACGCCAATGGTGACCCCCATGATGACTTTGTCACCCGTGATGGCCACCATGCTGACAATGAGACCCACTTAGGGGACAGCTGGAAGGTCAGCAATGTCCCTGGGTGCTCAGCTGGGTGCAGCGAGGGCTGCCAGGTGTGCAGTGATGCCCAGAAACGTGCCTACCGTGGAGATAAGCACTGTGGGCTGCTGGGGAAGAAACGGGGGCCCTTTGCCGCCTGCCATGACATCATCGAGCCCGGCCCTTACTTGGATGATTGTCTCTTTGATGCCTGCCTGTATGAGGGACACCAGGACACCGTGTGCCCGGCCATTGCCACCTATGTTGCTGCGTGCCAGAGCCAGGGCGTTGCCGTGCGGCCATGGAGAACGGCTGCCTTCTGCAGTATGGGGGGACCTGGGGGACTTGGGAGAGTGCAGGGGGGTTTTGGAGGGCAGAGAGGGACACAGGGTTTGGGAAGGAGTTTTGGGCTGTCCGTGGAGGTATTTGGGGTGTCTGGCAAGGGGAAGGGGAGTGGGGGCTGTCTGTGGGGGCTTTGGGGTTTCCATGGCAGGTTTGAAGTGTTCCCAGGGGTTTTGGGGTCTCCATGTGGAGCTTTAGGGTGTTAGTGGGGGTTTTGGGGACTACACAGGGAGTTTTGGGGTGTCCATGGGGGATTTGAGGTCTGCACAAGGGGAGGCCTGGATGAGGGATTCTAGGGTTCAGACAAGGGAGTTTTGGGAAATCCATGGGAATTTGGGGTGTCCGTTAGGGTTTTGAGGCTTTGCAGGGAGTTTTTGCAGGGGTTTTGGTGTTCCCAACCCTTTTCCCTTCCTGACAGGCCCTGTGTGCCCCCTGAACCAGCACTATGAGCTCTGCGGCCCTCCGTGCCCTCCCACCTGCCAAGGCGAAGTTGGACCTCAGGACTGCTCTGATGCCTCCACATGCTTTGAAGGTTGTTTCTGTGATCCCGGATTTTTCAGGAGTGGGGATAACTGTGTGCCCCTCCCCCAGTGTGGCTGTGTTTTGGAGGGCCGCTACTACCCCCGTGGAGAGCAGTTTTACCCTGCTCCTCCCTGCACTGAGCGCTGCATCTGCTCCGAAAATGGGAGGCTGGAGTGTCACCCCACTCCAGGCTGCTCCAGTGACGAGGAATGCACAGTACAGGATGGGGTACTGGGGTGCCACCCCCGCACCTGCAAACAGTGCCAGGTTTTGGGGGCAGGGGCTTACAGCACCTTCGATGGGCACCTGGGGAATTTTGGGGGGTCCTGCACCCTCCTACTGCTGGAGTTGGAGAGGGGTGAGCCTGAAGAAGAGCTGGAGCCTATCACGGTGGCCTTGGAGCAGGAGGACACGGAGGTGCAGCGGGTGATGGTGACGGCACACGGGGTGACTGTGGTGATGGACAGGGGACAGCAGTGGGAGGTGATGGTGAGTGGAGGCCCTGGGGGCTTGGGGTTGCAAGCCCTGGTTTTGGGGGCAAAAAGATACTGGGGGGGCGAAAAAGGGGATGGAAATGGGGTTTTGGGAGGTGCAGCAGTGAGGAAAGGCCTTGTTTAAGGTGAAAACTCGGATTTTGGGGTGCACACCCTGTTTTTCAGGAGCAAGCAATATTTTGGGGGCAATGCTTTTGGGAGTGAAAGCCTAGTTTCAGAGGTACAAACTCTGTTTGGGGTACACACACCACTTTTGGGCTGTACAGATCCTTTCTGGTGTGCTAACTGTGTGATTGAGGTGGAAACCATGATTTTGGGGTGGAAAACTCTCTTTTTGGAGTGTAATTACCATCCCTTTTTAGGATGTAAACCATGGGTTTGAGGTGCACAGAAGGAAGTCCAGACCCTAGTTTTGAGGGTGCAAACCCTGTTTTTGGGTTTGCAAAACCTAATTTGGAGGGATTAACTCCACCCTTGGTCGTTCGAGTTCCCTTTCGAGATCCTCACCCGTCTCCCCCAGGTGGATGGCGAGCGCCACTTGCTGCCGCTGTGGCTGCGTGACGGCGCGGTGGGGGTGGCGCAGGTGGGGTCCCACCGGCTGCTCCAGGTCCAGGGGGGTCCCAAAATTCTCTACGATGGCAACGCGTATATGGTGCTGACGCTGCCCCCCGCATCCCACCGCCCCCGGGGCCTCTGCGGCAACTTCAACGGGGACCCACACGACGACGAGCCTGACGAGGAGGCTCTGGGCAGCTCCCCCACAAACTGCACCCGCCTGGCGCCCGCCCCCAGCTGCTCCCCGGCCCAGGCGAGGCGCTGCGCGGTGCTCGCGGACCCCGAGGGACCCTTTGCGGGGTGTCATGGGGCGGTGCCGCCCCGCACATATCTGCTAACCTGTGAGCGCCAGGTGTGCGGGGGGGATGGAGACCCCTGCCCCGGTTTTCAGGGCTATGCAGCCGCGTGCCAGGCAGCTGGAGGTGCACTCCGGGAGTGGCGGGAGGCCACGGGTTGCTGTGAGTACATGGAGGGCTTGGGAATTTTGGAGGGGGTCGGGAATTTGAAGTGGCAGGAAGATTGGGGTGGTGAAGTTTTGGGAGGGTGGGAATTCACGGGTCAGGATTTTTGTGGGGACAGGAATTCTGCAGGGAGTGGAAATTTTGGTGAGGGTGGGAATTTGGAGGTCTGGGGGAGTGGAGCAGGGTCTCATTCCTGCATGGAAAAAGGGGCACATGTCTGTATTGCTAAGCCCCCATCTGGGGAATGCCCAAATCACACCCGCAAAGGGGACCCCCCCCGGCAAAAACAGGAAGCCTGTGTCCTCCGGGGGAGCCCTGTACAACCAGTGGGGCCCCCCTCATCTCCAAATGGGAGCCCCATGGGAGCACCCACCCCAAAGATGGGATGGCATTGATCTCAGAAGACACCTGTTGACCCCAGATGACCCCCCAGTAGCTCCACTGCCTCCCATTGACTCCCTTTGTTTCTTCCCTCCTCTTCCCAGCCCTCACCTGCCCACCCAAGACCCACTACCAGTTGTGTGCCCGCACCTGTGAGCACACCTGTGCAGGTGTGTCAGCCCCGCCCCCCTGCAGTGAGCGCTGCTTCGAGGGCTGTCAGTGCACCGAGGGGCTGCTGTTCGATGGGGCCCGCTGCGTCCTACCAGGCACCTGCGGCTGCCTCCACCAGGGGCGCTACTTCCAGGTGAGTGTGGCCCCAGTGCCTCCCAGTACAGCCCAGTTCCAGCCCTAGCTCCTTCCAAGCTCCCCATGATGATCCTGGGTCCTTTCAGTGTGCCCCCACAGTGTCCCCAGTCCCTCCCAGTACACCCCAGCATTCCCCATGTCATTATTTCTCCTTGTGTGTCCCACTTTCCCTAAACACATGACCCAGTGGACCCTTTAGCCCAGGGTCTCCCCTCCCTTCCAGTCTCCCCTGGTATTCCCTCTATTGTCCACAGTCCCTCCCAGGGCAATCGAGTCCTCCCGGAGTTTCCTCCTCAGTGTTCCCAATCCCTCCCAATTTGTCTCTGTTACCTCCACAGTTCCTCCAATGCATCCCAGTTTCTTAGTGGGGTGACTTAGTGTCCTTCCCAGTGTCTCCCAGCATGTCCCAGTGTCTCCCTGTGTCTTCACCAGTGTTCCCAGTGTCCCCCAGCAGGTCCCAGTTCCCCCACTGTGCCCCCCATGGAGGACATGGGGATGTGTGGGGACATGGCCACATGCTGGGGACATGCTGGTGGTCCCCATGGGCACCCATTGCGAATATGGAGACACACAGGGGATTTGGGAGCTATGGGCCCCTTTCCTTCCTCCCATGAGACCTCACAGCATCATCATCCCCATGTTTTGACCATTTTAGGGCACTTTTCCCCACTTTTTCCATTTTATCCATGGAAAATAGATCGCTGAGACCATCCTGACCTCTGACTGCTCCCAATCCTGCACCTGTCGAGGGCCCGGGGGCCTCCAGTGCCGTCCCTTCACTTGCCCCTTCGGCCACACCTGCGGCCTCCGTGATGGCACCCACACCTGCACTGCACGCCCAGGGCGCTGTGCTCTGTCCCCTGCCACTCGCTTCGTCACCTTTGATGGTGTCACTGGACCCACCCTGGTCACTGGCATCTATGTGGTGGCCAGCGTGTGTGACCCCCGGGACCCGGTGTGGTTCCGGCTGCTGGGGGACTTCAGGGATGTTGGGGACCAGCCAGCAGTGGTGGCACTTCACCTCTTCACCCCCCACGGCCTCATCACCGTGCACAGGAACAGGAAGGTCTGGGTAAGTTTTCACCACCCTGGCTGGTGCTCAAAAATGCTGTCACCACTGTGTGTTGTCACCCTAAACATCCTTCTAACCTTCATTTTAATTTTAAAAAATTGATATTTTTTCCCCAATTTCTGACCTGGTAAGAGTCTTCATGGGTTGTTCCATTCCGCCAGCACCACAGGATGTCCTTACCTTGATTTTTCCCAAATTGCTCTATTATGCTCCCAGTTTCCTGCCAGTGAAGCACCTGTGTGGGTCATGGTCACTAAGAGACATCCATAAATTGACACACCCCATTATTTTGACCAAAATTCCTCTTTATTCTCCCAATTTCATGTCAGAGAATCACCTACATGGGTTGTCCCTCATCCTATCCCCACCATGCCTTGATGCATCCCATCATTTTTCCACAAACTCCCTCTTTTCCATCCAGATTCTTCCAACTACACTTCGCCCCTGCATCTCCCCAAATCCCCTTTTTTCCATTAATCCGGTGTTTTCCAGCTCAACGGGATCCCCACTCCCCTGCCTGCGGAGTTCCCGGGACCGTTGACCATCACAGAGACACGCACGACCCTCCGGATCAGCCGAACGGCGGGATTTCTGGTGGAACTGGGCGCCGTGGGGGTGACAGTGGAGGTGCCCAGGGAGGCGCGGGCGAGGCTCTGTGGCCTCTGCGGCGACTACGACGGTGCCGTTGGCAATGACCTGCGAGGGCCCGACGGGACGGCGACGAGGGACGCACGGGCACTGGCTGAGGCCTGGCGGGCACCGGACCTCACCTGTCACCATTGAGAGTCAGAGATGACACGTAGTCGGATTAGAAAGCAAAGTGGCAAAACCTCTCGTTTATTTCATTCTCGCTCCTTTTATGGCTTAGTTTGCGTCAGGTAGACCTGATGGGTCATTTAATCAATACATTTCACCTGATTGACTAATTAACAAGACACCCATTTGTAAACAATCTTATGAGAAAAACAGATTATTAGAAAAACACCACCTGCAGGCTTTTTTAATATTTGGCTGTCATTGTTTATCTCCAGCTCCCTAAACCTTCCCAGGCCGATTCTGGGAAAACTTATCTAGCTTTCTCTCTCTTTGATCAGGCTGTCACATCCACAATCACCCAGGTGGGTGACACCAGGGGGACACTTGTAGAGGGGATATTAGGGTGTCTTGGGGGTGGCACTGGGGGGAACAGTGCCAAAAAAATGGGAGAAAATTAGCCTAAAAAAGAGGGGAAGAATCCCCCAAAGAAGGGAAAGAAGGCCCAAAAGATGGAAAAGAGACTGAAAAGAGGAAAAAGAGATCCCCAAAAGGGAGAAAAGAGCCCTGAAAAGATGGGAAAGGAGACCAAAAAGAGGGGGAAGAGCCAAAACTGGGGAAAGGACCCCAAAATTCAGGATAAGAGACCAAAAAAAGGAGCAAGAGCATGGGGGGGGGAGGGGGGATAATAACCCCAAAAGATGGGAAAAGAGACCGTACATGGGGAAAGGAGCCAACAGAGGAAAAGCACTGAAACAAGTGGAAAGAGATCAAAAAAAGAGAAAAGAAGGTGTAAAGGATCCTCCAAATGAGAATAGAAACTCAAAGGGATGGGAAAGACATCAAAAATGAGTGAAGGACCCAAGAATGGGGGAAAGGAATATTAAAAAGGGAGAAAGAGTGCGAAAAAATAGGGAGAAAGAGAGACAAAAAAGAGTGACACCAGAAATGGCAGAAAGAACACCCCACAAAGTGGTGGGAGAGAAGCATAAGAAAAGGGGGAAAAAAGATTCCAAAATAAAGGAAAAGCAAATAAAAAAGGGGGGAATAATCTCTCAAATTGGGGAAAGAGACGAACAACAGAGGGGAGAGAGTTAAAAAATGGTCATAACAAGTCCAGAAAAGCGGGAAAATACCCTAAATTGGGGGAAACTGCCGCAAAGTCCCCCTTGATTTTGCCTTTCTTCCCACCCAGCGATGTGGAAAATTGACATTTCACCTTGGTGGCCAGGCCCTATCACTGACATCATCCTCAAACAGCCTCAGATACAGAAAACCTGGATTTTTTAAGTGCCAAAACTGTGCTTTCACCCCCAAAACGAAACCTGGGAGAAAATGATATTTGTGGGTGACCTGGGATAAAATCCTGAGAATTCTGTGAAAATGCTGGGGGGCAGTGGGGGAGTGGGGAGGGCTGTTCCCACCCTGTTCTGCCGCGGGTGGTTCTGTGTCCCGTGTCCCCCGTTCCCCCAGCCTCCAGTCGATCAATATTTCCCAACGCCTGAGTCCCACGGCGGGAGGTGGGGGAGAAGGGTGGGTTGGCACCTGGAATGTTTGGTGCCAGGGAGGTGAGGGGGTTCCCAGACCGAGTCCACCAGGGGAGGTGTGTGCTACAGCACACATGGAGGGGACGCCTCACCACTATCCCCAGTTCCTCCCAGTAGATGCCAGTACCCACCCCCCCCAGTCGTCCCCAGTGTGCTTTCTGGTATCCCCAGTCTCTCCCAGTACAACAAACCCCTACCCCCTTGTCTCTTCCAGCTTCCCTCAGCTGCCCCCAGTATACCTCCGTGATAAATGGATATGATTTGTGCTAACAGCATTGTAACTATAGCAATATTTTAGAAAACATTTGCTAATAATGGGAAAGCAGATGGGCCCTTTACAGTTCTTACATGTGAAAAATAGGATACAGGATGTAGTATTGAGATAAGCTAGATCCTAAAACAGAATCAGCCTTGGGATGAGCAAAGTTGGGACAATTCCAGATATATAGTGGTAGAGTAGTGGTCTTATCTATGAAATAATAAGGCTTATTTGGAACATAATGCTTACTTTACATAACACAAGCTTAATGCACATGCACAACCTGCAATGTTATTCAGGGAGCAGTGAGGAAGATGATGAGCCTTCCCTGAAAAGACCTCCAAAAAAACCAGAAGACCCTTAGTGTGGAACATGTGCTATGCAGTATAGTGACATAGATTTTAAGAATCCAAAATAGGAGATTTGCGGGAAAATACTGATGAATATGTATGTGCATACAGTATATAAGCTATGTTTGCATCCCATTGTTCCTTTCAAGGGAGGCAGGGTAAGAAACGCCCCCCGTACCCTGGTCAGCTTTACTTATGCTTTGTATGAACCTTAATCATACTTAATTAATCACTGCCAAATTTTTGTATATGCTTGATTATATTTTATATACTTGATTGTATTCATTTTATGTAAAATTGCTGTTTGATTAAAATTGCTGCTAAATTCAATTTTGTTGTTTATTAAGTTAGACATATCGAACTTCATTCATAACAATTTGGTGATGAAACCTGGGAACTTCAGCCTGGTGGAAGGGAGGTTAGTCTTGGGAAGGAGCTCCCCACCAGTCTTTAAGGTGATCCCAAGGTTAGACTCGGTTCCCTTGGAGAAGGAGTTCAAATTATGATAAAGCATAAACAAAAGAAGCCAGCAATAGGAAGCAAACAAAAGGGCTCCCTTTAGGAGTGCCAGCTAAAGGTAAAAGTGCCTTTAAAATGCCTTGTGGACAAGAACAGTGAGGAAAAGCGGACTGTGTGAGTACTATGGGTTGGGCAGGGGGGCTAGTGTGTGCTTGTGTGTGTATGTGTGTGTGTGTGTGTGTGTGTGTGTGTGTGTGTGTGTGTGCAGAGTATTTGAGATGAGGGCTGGGCAGCCTGGAGCCTTGAAGTGAGTGTGGACCTCCCAGTACTGCATTTTTTGGCTCTCTGCGAGGTGACTGGCCAGGAAAGGAGGGAAGCAAAAGAGGAGAATGAGTAAGGATCCCTGGGAGGGGCTAGCAGGGAGGGTCCCAGTCTGAGAACCCACAGGAAGATCCTCAAGGAGAAGGGAGCAATCCGACCGCTCAGTGGGGTGACCAAGGAGGGGAGTGATTGAGTCAGGTTCAACTTTCCATGAAATGAAAATAGTTGGCTACTTTAATATGAGACTAAGAGGGACTGTGAGGGGAAGTGGCCAGAAGAACCTAATCAGGGAAGACAGATTGAGAGGGAGAGGCAGATGAGATTAGGCGTAAGGCAAGTAGTTGGTGAGAAATGAGATAGTGTAACAGAATAACATTAAGTGCAGGAGTGGAACCACAAAGCAAGTCAGGTAAAGACTGGGGACTTGGTTTGTTGCTGCCAAAAATGGGTCAGGGGAAGAGTAAGTCCTTAGACCCAGGGCTTGCGAATTAAGAGGGCAATTTGCAAGAACCTGGGATACCTGGCAACCAAGAGGAGGGTTCTCAGGAAGAGAGCATTCCTCAGGACACTCCATTGGGGATGATGTTATGATTCTGGGATGCATGGAAATTTCAAAGAGGAAAAAGCAAGCAGAAAATGATTAATTATTGTATGTTTGAATGGACTAAGGAAATTATCTGGAACGATAACTTATACTGGCCAAAGTTTGGATCATCTGAAGATTGGATTTATCAGGATTTAAATCTGTATGTAAATTCAAAGGACCCTTTTGATCAGGAAGAGAGCAACTATGCTGCCCTGTGGCTTCCCCCGGGGAGGGGTGAATTTATTGCCTGAAGGCAGGAAAGTGAGTATTATCCGTTGTACCCTTTACAAACTAGAGGGCAAGGAGACAAAAAGGACAGGCAACAGCCATGGGATCCATTAAATCACCTCCCACCCCCTTACAGACAACGTAATCAGCCCATTCAGCCCCAAGACCCTGAAGGTCCTCCTGTAAAGGCAAATGCACCCCCTATTCAGGAGGAGCCAGAAGCACAGAGAACTAGAGGTGGGAGGGGATGGGGAGAAGAAAGTGATGAGGGAGATGGGGAAGCAGACAAGGATGATCGATTATACCCTCTCAGAGAGGTTCCAATGGCAAATCCAGAGGCAGGACAGGGACCTGTTGGTATGTGAATGCTCCCCTGAACACAGGGGACGTTAGAGAATTTAAGAAAGAGATAGGCAAGCTGTTAGAGGATCCTATTGTGTGAAAACCCAGGGCACCGGGAATAATTCTCTGCCTGCTCTGGGGTGACCCCCAGGGAAGCACTGACTCTGACCCTCATCCATGGAGAAAGTTTCCTAGACTTCAAGGTAGACTGGAATCCACAAAAGTGTGAAATAGATTATAGAGAATAGTGTAGGTGTATCACTTGGTGAGAAATTTAGGGTTTGGGATTTTTAGTATGTTGTGGATGGAAGCAGATGGAGGGCACAGGGTGTCGTCCTGGGTTTCTTCTTCATGCTTCTTCTTCCTTCTTCTCCATGGGTTTGGGTGGCATTTTGTAATTGGGCAGAAAAATCTGCATTGAGGGTTCTTTGGGATCAGTTACTGGGTTAAAAGGGAAAATAATCTAGATGTCAGTTCTTAATTGGATAGTTTAGTCTTAGGAGACCTTGTAACAAGAGATTGTTGGCCATTTTGCGCCTTCTAATGAAAAGCTACCAAACTCACAGTAGTGAGACTGTTTTACTGGTAAGAAATAATAAACACTTGAGTCTGAACATGAACTACCATCTCAAGTGCCTTCAATCCAGACCCAGAGAAACCGACAACTGGTACCACCACGCTATTGGAGTGGCAGAGAGATTAGATCAGATCTTGGAGTCAAATATATACCCCTGGGTGAACCTGCAGTCTATGCTAAGAATCTTGTTTACAGTCGAAGAGAGAGAAATGATTAGACATTCAGAAATGTGAGTTTGGGATAGAGAACTTAGGGGCAGGACAGGGAGGATCAGAAATGGCCTATGCAAGATCCAAATTGGAATTATCAGGAGGTGGGACATAGGCAGAATATGAGTGATCTCCAGTGAATGATTATCAGAGGATTTCAGGAAGCAGTGCCCAGGGGGCAAAATATAGGAAAAACTCTAAGTGAGCATCAAGGGAAGGATGAATCCCTGGCAGAATGGTAAGAGAGACTAAGAAAAGATTTGCAGCTATACTCAGGCATAGACCCCAATACTGCAGCAGGGTAGGTTCTTTTGAAAACACAATTTGTAGC